ACGTGGCTAAAAACGGAAGTCGCTATTTCCTTGATAGCTAGGCACTGCTGAACTTACAAATAAGTAGCGTGAACATAGCTTAGAAAAAACAAAATTATTTTCAGTCAACCAGTTTAGATAACCGCTCATCCTTCCGCGTGCAGGAGGCAGATGAGTCACATAGAGTCTCCAAAATACTAATTCTATGCCAGCGTTTGAGTTTCGGCAGACGGTAACTCGAATTTAAGGAAAGTGCTCATCGAGACACTTGCCTCAGGTCATTGACTTGGACTTCTTGGGGGGATCCGCCCGTCATTCGTGCAACTCGTAGCTGGTTCGCTTTCCTTTGTGAAGGTATTCTAAAAACGTTTCAAAACCGTCGCAGTTGTGACTTATCAATTTGGAAATGCGGCGGCTCTGCACTAAAGCTTTCTCGAATATCTGAACTGCGGGTTCTGTCGAGACAATGAAGTACAAGGATTCCTTTCAGAAGGCCTATTTCAGTCGGGATCACAATTTTCCAGTCATGGTCCGTCGTTGATGACCATTGGTTAATATGGGAACGAAAATCGACTTGAAGGTTGGCAGTTTCTTCAGCCTTAGTCATGACGGTTCGAGTCACCCCGCTGACCATTCAAATTCGATGGTCGACCTCTTCCTCCAATTCTCCATCACCTTTCCGTTTATCTGCAGAACGCAGCGGAAAGGAGATCAACGAAGCAGTAGGCACTGATCTTTGACTCTTTCTTTCATACGCTTTTCGGACACGTAGCACTCGTCTGCGATGCTTTCCAAATTGCAGGCATTCAACTTGATATCCTTTCCAAATTTATCGCACACAGCCTAAACAGATCATTCCATTTTACTTGAATGTTATTCAAGGCTTATTATGCTTTGCTATACGTAATATTAGTTTCCTGATCCATCTCTTAACATAGCGCTCCGGTGTCACTGTAGAGACGTGTTTGCGTTTGGGAAAGCGAAACAGACAATCACAAACATTTACAGTTAGATTAAACGTGCAAAGTGCTTTTATTCTTTATTTTTATAAGGATTAAAGGTTGTTCACTAGTCAATGTTTAAACTTCACAGTAAAGGGATTCAGTGTTGATCCTTTTTCGAAGTTAACTAATCAACTATATAGGGGGGGGGGATCGGTACCTTTGCCGAGCAGAAATCTGGTTTTATCAACAAAAGTCCAATTTCATCACAGCTGCTGAAAACAAGCGTCACACATCAAACAGTACCGTATATCCCCATTACCGTACATAACCACCTTCTTTCGAAGCATCATAAGGAGCTCATTGAGCAATCGAGATGAAGGTTCCATGGCATTAAAACCCCATATGGTGCATGGATAGAAGACAGCCTTACTTGTTGGGTTGAAT